ACAATATAGAAAAATTTGTATTTTTTTCATAATTTTTTCATTAAAAGAAATAAGTGTAATACATCCTTAAATTTTAATCCATGAAAAGTTCTTAGTTTCATGATAAGATATTCCTGAAAATTTTAATCAAGGAAAAATTAGTTTCAAATTTAGCGAATAAAGAATTGATTTTGTAAAATATTTTGTTATTGTATGTATCCATAAATTGTAGATTTTCGCAACACTTTGTTTTCTTATACAGCATAATTGCTGGCTACTTTACATATTTTGTAACTTGTTGTAATATTTAAAGGGATTGTTATTCGTCTGCAATGGTTGTGAATACGTTATACACGTATACACAGGCAGAAAAGCGAAGCGCTATCGCACGTATCAGCACGCGTTATTTGTCAGTTGTCAGCCATGACAGCTCGCGAAACTCTGTTCGCCGCGGCGGAGAAAATTTCTGTTCGGCGCAACGAATAAATCCAGCGACGAAGACGCGAAAAAAAAGGGAGCATGCCAGGCGCACTCTTGCATTAATTTCCATCACTCGCGTTGCGCCACCCGTTGTTCAAAGACTTCCGTATCGTCCTATTCACAAGGATATATATGCCCCGCCACTTTAATCTGCCAGACCGAAACTGCGCGAGGTGAAAACCATTATTTTTATTTCCGCTCCTTTTCCACCCTCTCATCCCTCTCTTCTCTCTTTGAAAGGCAACATTTCTTGTTCTCCTTGTTCGCGGACGATCGACTGACGAGGTTACTCACATCTCACTCGCACGAGATTTCACTTTGAGGGGAAGCTCAGCTTGACTTCTCTATTTTCGCCTTTTGGTAGGCGCTTGGATTTATATGTAAAGTTTGGAGCGCGCGAGAGAAGTTTACATAGACGATACCACGACAAGAAACTAGAAGTTATACTTACACCGACAGAAACACCGTAAGGACTCGGTGCGCCAGGTTCCCCTTTTTCTCCCTTGGGTCCCATTGGTCCGATACTTCCCGGAATTCCAGGAGTCCCAGGACGACCCTGCGGAAGACAGTGACAGATGAATCGCTCGTTTGCATTTTAATTAGCGCAAGGGATTTGGTTGCTGTGACACGTAATGATATAATTTTGATATGCGTTTAAACGTTTAATAAATGTTCTTTGCGTAACTGCGACGACTAAATTCGCCCATAACTTTACAAGAAGGTGCAAGAAAAACATTCGTAATTATATCTACTCCAGGAATAAAAAGAAGGTATTTAGCGCTTGTGCAAAATTCATGTTGTTTCGTGCGGTTTGATTAAAAGCTCACCTTCATCGAGTTCTTCGGTTGGCATTGTGAAAAAGATAAAAATAGCGTTGCTTAGAAACGAAGTATTTCAAGATAACGCTATTTCAGAATATTTATCTATGTTAATACTGAATACTAAGATAGTATTAATAATTATATAATAATGTTCTCCACAAATAATATTAAATACTATCAACAATATTATTATCATTATTATTATTTCATTATTATATATTATTTAGCATTATTTTACATTGTTACTGTTATTCTATTCACATCTATTAATTTAGTTAATTATATATACTTGATTAGTATTATAACGTAAAGTGAGATAACAAATCAAAATACAAAACGTACCATCCATCCCGGTAGACCGATTTCTCCCGTATTTCCTGGCTTTCCGGGAGGACCCACGGGACCAGGCGGTCCAGGTCGTCCTCTTCTACCCCGTTTTCCTTCGGCGCCTTTCTCACCTTTGATGGTGATATAGTCTCCGGAATTGGCGACGGTAGTGGCTCCAGGAGGACCTCTCTCACCTCTTTCGCCTTTAGTGCCAGGTATGCCGGGTAATCCTGATACTCCGTCTTTACCCGGTTCGCCTTTATCTCCTTGAGGCCCTTGAATACCATTTATTCCGGGAATACCAGCTGGCCCGGCGTCACCCTTATTGCCTTTCTCACCCTTTGTGCCCTTATCGCCCTTGTATCCGCGCGCTCCACTATCGCCTTTGTCCCCTTTTGTGCCAAATCCTTGATTAAATAATATTTCAAATATTAATTTTGTAGCCCTCGTTTTGATGCAATAGATATTGCATTTCTTCATCTAACAAAAAACATTGATAATTCAAAATCTTTAACTGGTAAAATTATATCTAATGTTGTAAAAAAATATCCCAGAAAATCGAGAGATATCAAATTTACCTCAGCTTTTTACTTTTCTTTACAAATTTATGTAATATGTGTATCTCCATTTTGTTTATTAAAAATAATTACCAATAAAATAATACAGACATAAGTAATAAATGATAGTATTATGTTTTCATGTGACGCAATTATAATATCATTTATTTAATTTTATTTCTCTTAATTAGATTTATTCTCATCGGTCCAATTTCGAATTATAATTGTATAATATCATTTATTTAATTTTACTTAATGTTTTATTAATATAAAACTTATTTTATTACGTTGAAGACTAATAGAACGGTTAATAAAAAAAATTCAGCAACTTTGTTACATAAAAGGTAAGATTACGTAAAAAAATCAAACAAGTGATGAAATGAATAAATATTGGACTAAATTCGTCATTGCTATGTTTAAAGAAAAATTTGCTCACCTAGATCTCCCACGTTTATACCACCGGAACCGCCCATACCGGGTGGACCAGGTGGTCCTGGAGGTCCCAGTTTTCCTTCAGGTCCTGTATCGCCCTTATCACCTTTTTCTGCCGGTCGTCCATTTTCTCCAGGTGCGCCGGGTAATCCAGGCGCACCGGGTGCACCAGGTTCACCTTTGAAACCCTGAATTCCCCTGGGACCATCTTTTCCATGATCGCCCTTAATACCTTTGTATCCAGGTTCGCCTTTGATGCCTTTGGATCCGGGTATTCCAGCTTCGCCTTTAGGACCGGGATTTCCTGAAATGCCTGGCTCACCCTTTTGTCCGGGAAGTCCTGGTCTCATTGTGATACCTTCCGGCTAGATAGACAAGTATTAAAATAAAAGATTATTTTATGTAAAAATTGATAAAGTTGCATACATATATATAAATAGTTTATTGGAATCTTATAATTTGGAAAAGGAATTTCAAATATCGGATAAGATATTTACGATGCAATCAGAATGCTCTAGTCCGTACTCACTCTGTAAATATTTCGAGGTTTCCAACTAGGCTGCATGCGCATAATAATCGAAATTTCCCCATTAGATCGTTGGAATAACGTTGCGAGACTGAAAGCCTCGCGAGCCGGCCTGACACTGCCGTCTATACGTTTGCATCGCTATTGATTAGTGGCGAACAATTGTTGCACGAACAATTGTTGATGGTGCATGATTCGCAATTGCTTTAGTGTATATCGATTTATGTAATAGAATCGTAAGTGCAAATTGCATTTTTAAATACGGAAGTTTCTTTCATTTGCTACATAATTTGGATTCTTTTAAAGTCTAAGTAAGTTTTTAGGCACACGGAAAATAACGGAAAAAGAGATTTTTTTAAATTTGCTTAATACGTTTTAATTTTATGAACAATATAGAGTATATGTATGTATTATATGGAGAAAATTATTTATTTATTGGTAATAAATACAGAGTTTGCAGTATGTTAAATTTAATATACTTTACGTGTTGAAATGATTCACTCAAATTTTGGTGTTTTAATTTAAACACAAAATGAATATGTTAGAAAGTAACATGAATGATAAGTAAAAATTAACACACAAATGTAATATTTTGACACAATTTGGAAATAAATGGAATTTTAGATATTTCTTCCAACAAAATTAATATTTATGTAATTAAATTTATCTTTCATTCGTACTTGTCTTAGAACTTAAATTTGGGAACTATGTATATAATTTTAAGTGTTATTTATTCACTTATTTATAAATTATGTTATTTTAACACCGAGAAATATTAAATCAATTTATATAAAATATTAGTATAATAAAATTATTTAAGTTAAATTAATAATCAGATATGTACTATATATATATAT